CTGTCTCTACCTGTCCACTCTGTCTCTACCAGTCCACCCTGTCTCTACCTGTGCACTCTGTCTCTACCTGTCCACTCTGTCCCTACCTGTCCATTGTCTCTAACTGTCCACCCTGTCTCTACCTGTCCACCTTGTCTCTAAATGTCTCTACCAGTCCACCCTGTCTCTTCTTGTCCACTGTCTCTACCTGCCCAGGATGGTCATTGCTTCTCCCTCGTCACTGCAGAACAGCAGGGCGTCCATGTTGTCATGGAGTACAGTCAGCGCCACCTGCAGGTAAATTCAGAGAAAGGAAGTAGTGTAGTTACAGGTGGCAGAGGTCAAAGGAAAAGAGAGAAGTAACCAGTCAGTAACTAGTTAGTACTTAACAATAACCAGTCAGTAACTAGTAAGTACCTGGAAGATGACCTTGATGCCCTCGTAGAAGAAGCAGTCGACCAATAGGACAGCACTGTCGAACGGCATCACAGACAGGAAGAGGGTGAGGAACCATGACAGGCTGATGGTGGAGATGACGCCCAGGTCCTGCATGTGTTCGTACAGCAGGGGGAGGAACGCCCGGGTGAGCTCCTCAAACACACCCTGATCCACCAGAGCTCCTGCAGGAACACACAGCACGTCACACCCAGCAGCGCCCCCACTTGTCTGAGAGCAGGTGATCACAGATGTCACAGACTGTTACTCACCTACAACCCTGGTGTTGTAGTAGTCAGGCAGCATTCGCTCACACAGCGCCACCAACAGCCAGAAGGCTTCTTCCTCCGTACAGTAGAGAAGCAGGACAGAGGTTACGATGTTCATGGCCTGTAGGGGGCACAGATAACCTCCATTTTATTCAATGTATATACTGAAGGGGCTATGGCCTACAAGATTGACAGGTGTGTAACCACAGGCACTCCATTCTGATTATATTTGTAAGATAAAATACTTAACAATTTCTTTTAATGAAAAGTTTTATTATTTTAATAGTTACCAGTTCATATTTTATATATATTTTATGTGACATAATGACCTGACAGTATCCGATGCAGGGGTTGCGATGGGCATAGGCGGTGAGGACGCGGCGCAGCGCGGTGATGCCCATCTCGTTCTGGAACGCTCTGTGTTCAGGCATTGATCGATGGAGGTCACGCTCGATTTCCTCTGTCGCCAATGAACACAGCCCCATGGCCTGCTCCACCAGGTCGCCATAGTAACCAGGGTGGGTCACCATCTCGTTCTGTGCCCCTAAGTGAATGAATGAATGAACGAATGATTAATTAAATGAATACATTAGTGAATTAATGAATGAAAGAATTCATGAATGAGCTAATGAGTCATTGAATGAACGAGTGAGTGATTAAATGAACACTGACCAGAGAAAAGTAACCACAGCTCTCCTCTCAGACATTCTGGGATCCCGTTGAGAACCAGTTCTCTGGTTCTTGATGTTCTATACATACAAACTCCTCGACCAAACTCTGAGAAATGGATGTTCCATGACTCCTCCTTCATCTTCTCCTTCATCTGCAGGGTAGGTGAGGTGTGAGGAGGTGAGGAGGAGAGGACAAGCTTCATGTTACACATCAGGTTTTACTGATCAACATCTAACAGTTCTGCTCAGTACCAAAACTTCAGCACGGTACCACATGTAAAACCAGCAGTTTTCTGGATCCAGTCTGCGACATGAACTCACCGCTTTTGGACCTAGGTCCTCTGGAGTGCCTTGGTAGTAGAGCTGCAGCAGACCCTGACTGGCTGTGGGCAGACCGGGGTGGTAATGGCGCCCCCTGTGGGCAGACTGAGATCCTCCTGATGAGGAGGAAGGGACACTGGAAGACACCTAAGGACAAAAAAATCAAAATGAAAGTAAAATTAAATCAACTCTTCTCATTGATTGGGCAACTGAGGATACCGTTGTTGACAAACCAAACGAAAAAGACACGACTGATCATTTTCTGTGCGCCAGTAATTAAGCCTTTTTCGCAGGATTATGAAATTGTACAATAACAACGACAACCTGTGGACAATTCCACAGTAAATAATACTTTTAGTTTGAAAAATGTTCATCTTTAAATGTAGAAATAAGGTCAGGCTGTTCCTGCTGCCCTGACTCCTCTTGTCTCTCTGCTGCAAGGACAACGCTATATTCACAACGCTATATGATATGTGGCTCAGTTAGTAACCATCAGTTGGTTGTATACTACTTTTCACAGTGCATTGCGGGAGAAAATTTGTGCACTAAATAGGGAATAGAAATTAAATAAACACAACATTTGGACATAACTACAAAAAAAGGGAGAACTCACTACACAGTGATTAGTGGGTGACTTTAGTCACTGCCACTATTTTACAGACTTCATGTCTGAAAACAGCTTATGACAACACTCTACATCAGTGACATACTGAGTGACCAATCAGAGACAGTGGGTTGATGTTGCCCCAAGCACTGTCAGGTGTTCGCTGCAGGAAGTCAGAGATGCGTTGGACCAGGAAGTCTCTGTCTTTGAGGTTGGCAAACAGGAAGTTCATTTTGTTCTTGGTGCTGATTGAGACAGGGCATGGCAAGACACTGCTGCTGTCCGCCTTCTCCACAATGGACACCTGAGGAGCAGAGGACTATGGGTAAAATCCTGGAAACATCAACACAGACAAATCAATCAATCAATCAATCAATCAGATAGAAGATTGTTGGTGAAGATTCATGTGGGACACTAATAAAAAAATCATGTTAGATATATGTTTCTATTAAAATAATTTTAACTCATGTTGAAGTTGATTTTTTTAGTTAATACAAATAATCCAATTTTGTTGACGCATACATCAGGGGCCTGTACTATGAAGTGAGTTCAACTTACCCAGGATATCTTTCAGTTATCTAGCTGAACCTAACTTAAATAAATATTAAACATCTGGCTCAGGGTTTATGTTACAAACTCGGTGAACAGAGTGGGATGGTTATGATTTACACAAGCTTTTAGCTTTGTATTGCATTAGGTTAATATTCCAGCGTTTGTGTACACGTCTCATGAACTTTGGAATGAATCAAACAAACACAAAGCAAACTTCAGTACAGTTAAGGTCCTGATTACTTGTGATGAGTGTTTATTCAAAGTGTAAAGTGAGCTCAGGTCAGTGAGTGTGGAGGACGACACTCAGACTCTGACACGGCACAAACCAACCACTACTTCTGATCCTGAAACAGCGGCACAAATAATCTCAATCATTGGTCCGTCGTTGAAACCTTGTAGTCACACTTATTTTGTATTATTCTGATCAGAGGCATCACAGGAACTTGTTTCCACCCATTTGACATTCTTTGAGACACAGCTAAACATAGCTAAATCGTAATCCTGGTACAACACAGGCTAGCTCTGAAGCATAAATTACCATAGTGACTAAACAGGAATTAATTCAAGCCAGAGTCATGGAACGGATCACTCACTTAAATAAGCCAGACTTATCAAAGTTAGCCAGGATTAACGTTGAGCCATTTTGATGGAATACCCCACTGCTCCGAAGCAGGTTAGCCATTCAACATAAATGAGCATGGTGATTTACCCTGATAAGAATTGAACAAGCTTCGTAACACTGAAAACAACCTGAAGTTACCCTGATAACCACAAATTCTGCTTTGTAGTACTAGGCCAGGGGCAATTTTTGTTTACCTCTCTGAGTGGAATGATCAGCTGACACAGATCTTCTTCTCTGCTGTTGAAACAGATGTAGTTGTTGGAAATAAACAATTGTCCGACCACGTGCATCTTGGCGAATGGCGTCCACAGCGTACAGTCCGTGTGTCCATCCAGACGCTCATCCTGCATCAGACGAAACATTGCACGATAATGCTCATTCTTCGCCCGTGCATCCAGATCCCTGCCAACCAACCAAACAAACACAACAGACATCAAAAACATGCAGCATCTATTGTTCCTCTGTCTGTCCTGGGAGAGGGATCCTCACGTGACTCTTTCAGGTTTCTACGGTTTTCCTGTTAATAAAGTTATTTTATTTTATTATTAGTTTTACTCTTGTTGAGGGTTAAGAACAAGTGATGTTGCTCCTCCATCTATGAGACAAACTGTGATTTGTGAATATGAGCTATACAAATAAAATTTGATTGAAAAACCGACAAACAACGAAAACAAACAAACAACAAACATCACAAATGAACTAACACAATCAAATAATAGAAAAACAACACAAACAAACAACAAACATCACAATCAAGCAAACAACAAAAGCAAACATCACAAATGAACAAAAATCACATACATGCAAACAGTGTAAGACGTGGGTACACACTGTACAAATGATAAAAGATGAACCCTGTGAATTTGGTGCACGATTACTGAGCTGAGTGAGACCTCTTCAGCGCAGACACATTCTTCAGTGACTTGCAGGGTTTGGGCAGCAAACAGTCGGCAGCAAACGCCTCGTTGTCAAGCAGCTGACGCATGGCGATGTTAGCGAGCTGCTCCATCAGCTTGAAGGTGTCGTTGATGTTGAGGAACATGGAGAAGAAATGTTCAGTGTGACGAGTGCTGACACAAACGCTCTCTGGGAACAACAAGGTGGCATTCTTCTCCAGTTGGGTCACCTCTGTCCACGGCACCACCAGGGACACTGGAGGGTGGGACAATAACAACAACAATATGATACAATAACATTTCTACATCAATATAAGGAGTTTCCTGTTCTACACACACTATAAACTCTGGCTTGTGATTGGCCGCTCGTACCCTCCTTGCCCAACAGGAAGGAGTAGAAGCACAGGTGGTTGATGGACAGGTACAACCAGCCCTGTCGCGGGACTCTTCCTTTCCAGTAGCTGCAGGAGTAATAATTCACCAGCTTCTCTTCATCAGGCATTCCGAACAACCTCCTCATCTTCACCTCTGCCTCCCGAAACTTCCCACAATCCTCCTCCTGCTCCACTCCCGGCTTCAGCCGGTTTTCCTCAGCAATGATGCCCTGGGGGAAGTGACATCACTCACTGACAGGTATACGGGCAGAGCAACAGTGAAGAGGACAAAGAGGAAATAACATACAGAGATCTTCCCTTTGACAAAGGTGGTGACGTCTTCATCATTGTCAAAGATGGAGATGGTCTGCAGTAGGTTGGACTCCAGCCAATCCCAGTGCTCTGTGATCTCCTTCCTGGACGAGCCTGCAAGACACAGCTGAGGGTCAACAAACACTCAGCTACTCCCACTGCTGCCAGTCCACTCCCGGCCAGTTCAGTCCAGTCTAGTCCAGTCCGGTCTAATAGACTCACCACAGGCAATGTTCCAGTAGATCTGAGAATCTGACGTCTGTAACAGGATCCTATACGGAGCTACTCGAGCACTGGAGTCCAAAACCACATCCAGAGTCCCAACCAGGAGACCTGCACACACACAGACAGATACAAAGAGAAAGACAGACAGGTACAGACAGAGACCAGTTCCAAGTTATTTTTAAAATACCTGTTTCACTGAGCTGAAGAAGTGGTCACATGACACTGGTCACATTGCAAAATTTAAAACATGCACACACTGAAGTCGACTTCATGGCTCAGGAGACTGAATCTTCTGAGCAACATGTGAAGGAACAGTTAAACTACAGGGTTTCCTGAGCATGTTCACATAAAGGGGAACTATTTGCAGCATCTGACCAATACATAATGAGTCGTCAGCAGCAGAGTTTAAATCACTCCTCTCACGTTCTGCCAACCATAGCAGGGATAAAGATCACAACCTGGTTTGGGACTTTGTATGTAACACGGAGTGCATTCAAATCATCTTCTTTCATAACCACTATTCCTTGACTCTCATGGAATAAGTCACAAGGTCAAGAAAAGATATGAAGGGGAAGCTGTAAGTTAGGAAAGGAGAATCACAAGGAGAAATTCCGACTTACACTCAGCATATTTATTTTAAGAACTTTATTGAGACAGTAGATACAGGCAGGCAGAAAGGTACTCTGTGCTGTCGCCCAAAGAAGGAAAATGTACTGTTTACTACAGAATGACATATAGAGAGGAAACATCAGTTAATAGATAAATAAATAGATTGAATTGAAAAATAAAACAGGACTGATGTTGAAATAATATAAAAACATGAGGAACATACGAGAAGAAAACCTTATATTAGTGCAGAAAATTATTTTGTGTGCATTCCATAATCAGGAATTAAAATGACTTTTATATTTGTGTTGAGTTGTGATGTTGTGAACTATAACTACATTATGTTTGTTGCTGACTGGAAAACAAGTGACAGAAAAAAATCAGGAGCTCAGATAAATGTGAGGATTCACATCAGTTCTGTATCATGTTGGGAAAATTAAACAGATGTTCATTCATTTTATATTTACTTAAAGGAGAAGTTCAGTTTTTTTCAACCTGGTCCTTATTTCCAGCATATGGTATGTAGATCTACTCACCCATAAGGGTTTGGAGTAACTTAGGAGTCCTTCGGACGCTTTTAGATCCACACGCGATCGGCGTATATCCATACAACGCAAGTGATTGGGGCATCCACAATACAGCCTCTAAATAATGCATTATCTGCTGCGAAACTCTTTATTTACTATGAATCGCCAGCACTAGTCCCCTGTGAGTCCAAGTTGCTTTGTTKACATCCCGGGCTTTCACTGGGGTGACGTCACCGAGGCGCGCAGCCGCAGATCAGCTGTGTTTGTTTACACGGAGTTTGCTGCTGCTAGTTTTGCACAACATGGCAGAATACTTATCAGGTGCTTTACAGTACAGTAATTTTTTAAAGCAGCTGTGTCCTGGTGCTCGGGCGTATTCACCTGGTTAAAGGCTAACTAACTTCAGCAGGCTAACGAGCAGCCTCGGAGGTAGCGTTAGCTTAGCGAACCAAGAGCAAGTTGTCTTCCTGTTTAATCAACAAACCAGGCGGCAGATAATGCGTTATTTAGAGGCTATATTGTGGATGCCCCAGTCAATTGCATTGTATAGGTATACGCCGATCGCGTGTGGATCTAAAAGCGTCCGAAGGACTCCAAGTTACTCCAAACCTTATGGGTGAGTAGATCTACAAACCATATGCTGGAAATAAGGACCAGAGTGAAAAAAAACGACCTTCTCCTTTAAGATGCATGATTTTACATCACTTTAAATATTGCTGCCACAATGCTTTTTGGGACGGCATCTCCTTTCCTTTCATAAAGAATGGTCCGATGTTTCCTATGCTAAAGGAGATAAGTAAGGAAGCATTGAGGCTCCTTTCCTTTCATAAAGGATGGTCCGATGTTTCCTATGCTAAAGGAGATAAGTTAGGAAGCATTGAGGCTCCTTTCCTTNTTGAGGCTCCTTTCCTTTCATAAAGGATGGTCCGATGTTTCCTATGCTAAAGGAGATAAGTTAGGAAGCATTGAGGCTCCTTTCCTTTCATAAAGAATGGTCCGATGTTTCCTATGCTAAAGGAGATAAGTTAGGAAGCACTGAGGCTCCTTTCCTAATAATTTAGAGAATTCAAACAGTTCTTATTATGGCGGCTGCTGAAAAACTTCAGGTCATTTCACTCAGTTAAGAAGGTTCCTATAGAAAATGGACGATCTGAATGCAGCCACGTGACATAACAAAGTCCGTCTCCACAACAACTGAACTGATGAAGACCATGTGATAATGGTTGACAGCTCAGGAAAACCTCAGTGCACCGGGGTTTATACCCCTGGAGGTCAGGAGGGGTAATGCAGCCTGGACTCTGACTGATCACAGAACCTCAGGTACTCACCGGACAGCCCCCCCCCACGGCCGTGCCCCCTCCTCCTCTGCAGAATGAAGAACGGGTTGGCCCGCTCCCAGACCCAGAGCGCCCCCACCAGGAGCACCTCCTCCGGCTGGATCCACATCGCCCCCTGGCGGAGAACACCAACCGCTACTGCCCCTCCACCGGAAAAACACC